ATGCAGAAAAAAAATCAAGGCCGGAAATCAGCTGACCAGCGCGCACATGCGTGCCATAGATTCGTCATCCTGGTTTTAGACCAATTCCTCATGAAGGGACAGAGTATATAATCTTGTACTTTCCTAAGCATATTCTGCTAGATAGTCCTTGATTTACAACGGTTCATTTAGTGACTATACAAAGTTACAATGGCACTGGAAAAAAAGTGACTTGTTTTTCACACTGTGGTATCCCCATGGTCACATGATCAAAATTCAGATGATGGACAACTGACATATATTTATAATGGTTGCAGGGTCTTTGGGGGGGTGTATCATGTGGTTCCACCACAAAACTGCGCTCGATTAAACCGCGCCCGACTAAACCGCGTCGCTGACGTCATCAACAGGGTGACAACAGCGCGGAGACAGAAGCACGCTGTAAATCCTAAACCTAAACTTAACCCCTAAACCTAAACTTAACCCCCCTAAATCTAATCCTAAATCTAATCCTAAACCTAACCCTTAACCTAACCCTAACCCTAACCCTAACCCTTAACCTAACCCTAACCCTTAACCTAACCCTAAACCTAACCCTAAACCTAACCCTTACCTTAAGTTGAATCGGCTTGCTTTNATTATTATTATTATTATTATTATTATTATTATTATTATTATTATTAAAATAATAATTCTGCAGTTGTAGATTGCTCGAAGCTTTAAGAAACTTCATTTACTCCTATCCCGTAATTTATTAATTTTAGAAATAATTCATTTATTCCTGTTAAACTGTCCTGTTTAACAATGGAAAACTTGGGCTGGCTGGTGGTTGTATGTTGAGGAAAGTCTCACACGCACGCACACACTCCTCCAGTCATGAAGAAGTTCCAGACAAAGCCATGGGGTCACTTGCATTATTCGAGGAGATGGTTCTGTATTTTATTCATTTACTCCTATCCCACCTTTACTAGTTTTAGAGGTAATTCAAGGTGGCAAACATATCCAGAACCCCCCCCCCCTCGCGCTCAATTTCCTCATAACAACAACCCTGTGAGGTGGGTTGGGATGAGAGAAAGGGACTGGCCCGAAGTCACCCAGCTGACTTTTATCCCTAAGGCGAGACTAGAACTCACTGTCTCCTTGTGATTGGCCCAAAGTCACCCAGCTGGATTTCATGGCTAAGGCGGGACTAGAACTCACCGTCTCCTGGTGATTGATGCACAATTTGGCACTTGAGGTTTTATTTTATTAAATTTTGAAAACACACCCATCTATATCACAGGAGGACTCTTTTTAATATTTTAAAATATTAAAAGATACAAAATTTGAAAAGAAAAGGATAAATTAAAACTGTCTTTATTTTTAAGGGGGCTTTCAGGGTGTAAACTAGCCCTAGGGCTGTGTGCTCTAGACCCAAACAAGGCCAGAGAGCCTGGTTTTTACAGCTTCTCAGGAGGTCAGGAGAGTGGGGGCCCATCTCACCTCTGGGAGGAGAACGTTCAACAGGGTGGGGGCTACAACACAGAAGGCTCTCTTCTTTTAATTCATGAATTTAATTAATGGTTTCTTTGGCAGATGACCGGAGAGTTATAATTCTCTAATGGCAGATCCCCAAATTTCTTACTAAACTGACACTCTGGAGTCTATTAAAAAAAAGGAAAAGTCAACTAATATCTCTCTAAACAGAACCAAAAGCAAAAAATTCTTCCATATATTGCAACTATGGTTAAAGATGAGTCTTGAAAGTCCCTTGGGTTACGAGGAGATCCAACCAGTCAATCCTAAAGGAAGTAAATCCTGACTGCTCTTTTAGAAAGATGGATCTTGAAACTGAAGCTCAAATACTTTGGCCACTAAAGTAGACCGTAATGTTTGGAAAAATAGAAGGCAAAAGGAGAAGGGAACAGTAGAGGATGAGATGGTTAGATAGTGTCATCAACACAATGAACATGGATTTGGGGAAACTCCAGGAGACAGAATCGAATAACAGAATTGGAAGGGACCTTGAAGGTCATCTAATACAATTCCTTGGTCAGACAGGAAACCCACTGCCATTTCAGAGAAATGGCTGTGCAATCTCTTCTTTAAAAATCTTCAGTGTTGGGGGATTCACAACTTCTGGAGGCAAGTTGTTCCACTGGTTAATTGTCCTGATTGTCAGGAAATTCCTCCTTAGCTCTAGGTTGCTTCTCTCCTTGGTTAGTTTCCATCCATTGCTTCTCAGGTGGTCTGGAGAATAATTTGACTCCCTCTTCTTTGGGGAAACCCCTGAGATATTGGAAGACTGCTATCATGTCTCCCCTAGTCCTTCTTTTCATAAAACATACCCAGTTCCTGCAACCGTTCTTCATATGTTTTAGTCTCCAGTCCCCTAATCCTCTTTNGCGGTGCTCCGGATTGGAACTGCCGAACTGCTGACCTTTCTGATCAACAAGCTCAGTGTCTTAGCCACTGAGCCACTGCTTCCCTTAATATAGGTGTAACAGCTGACAAAATATTCTTTTAAAAAACCCCACAAAGAAGTAATTAAAAGATGGAGCAGACTGTCTCTCACCAAAGGGAGATTCCCCCCGCCCTGCCCTGAATAAATTGAGAAAAGGCATATCCCATACCTGTTACACTCCCAACGGAATTAGTTACTAGGAAAAAAACAATTCTTTGCTGGTGTTAAAAGAAAGACTCCAGCCTCTTAGCAGTTCAATTTGAGCTAATGGATTTCTTTGGGGTTAATGTCTTTTTTTTTTTAAAAAAAATAAAAATCTCTGCCAAGGATTCCTTTCCCTTTTCAAAAAGGGAATTCGGAGCAGGCAGCCCTCGCTGGCAACAAAACCAGGGAAAAAAGCAGATTGCATCAGCACTTCCTGGGGTTTGTCCAGAGAAAAAGCAGCTGGCGGAGAAGCAGCCTTTGACTGAATGTGTTGCTTTTTCTACAAGAGCATAAGGATATTTTGGAAACCATCTCAAAAGGTTCCCCCCCCCCCCTCAGTTTTAAAGGGAATGCAACCCTTTTCCCCCACAGGAGGATTTTTAACAACTCTGAAATTCATCCGTTAAAAAAAGATGGTGAGTCTAAAATGCAATGCCAGGCTGGCCCAAGGAGTCCTTGACTTACGACCACAATTGAGCCCAGAATTTCTGTTGCTAAGCGAGACAGTTGTTAAAGTGAGTTTTGCCCCGTTTTGCAATCTTTCTAGTCACAGTTGTTAAGCGAATCACTGCAGTTGCTAAGTCAGTAAAACGGTTGTTAAGTGAATCTGGCTTCCCTCATTGACTTTGCTTGTCAGAAGGTCGCAAAAGGGGATCACTGCGACCGTCATAAATAGGAACCAGTTGCCAAGCTTCTGAATTTTGATCACGTGACCGTGGGGAAGCTGCGATGGTTGTTAAATGTGAAAAATGGTCATAAGTTACTTGTCAGTGCTGTTGTAACTTTGAACGGTCAATAAACAAACTGTTGTAAGTCGAGGACTACCTGTATTTGCATACAACCGAATGCAGCAAGAATGGTTTGCAACACATTTGAGAATACAACAGGAGAATGCCATTTTCAAATTTTTCCTTAACTTAAAAAGAACCTGGGGGACGGAAGAAAAGAGAAACCTAAAATGTTTCCCGTTCTCTTATTGGTTTTACCAACTGACCTGTCCTTTTACTATCCAAAGTCTGAAAAAATTGTCTCCTTTACTTAGTTGTATCCTGCCTTTATTGTGTTTGCAAATAACTCAAAGTAGCAAACATATCAAACACACTTTCTTCCTTCTCTTTTCCTCACAATAACAATCCTTTGAGGTGGGATGGGATGGGAAAGAACGATTGGCCCAAAGCAGGGGTGAAATGCTACCGGTTCGCCTGAACCGATAGTAAAAAAATGTTTTAAAAAGTTTTAAAATAGTTCTGACAATTGCGCGGCACAACTGATCGTCAGAACTTTAAAAAAAACTTTTTAAAGCATTTTAGTAAAAAAAAAGTGCTTAAAAAAAAAGTTTTAAAAAAGGTTCCGATGATCAGCTGTGCGACAGAAAGCAGGAAATCCTGCTTTCTAGCAAATCTAAATTGCGCTGCACAGCTGTTTCCCCCCCACTCGCTGTTCTATTTACCTTTGCAGACTCAGAAAAGGCTTCTTAACGGTGTACATGCCATGCACGCAAAGTGAACCGGTAGCAGACTTCAGAGCATTTCACCCCTGGCCCAAAGTCCACTCAGTAGGACTTCACGGCTAAGACGGGACTAGAACTCACCATCTCCTGTTGATTGGTCCAAAGTCAGTAGCTTTCATACTTAAGGCGGGACTAGAACTCCCAATTTCCCATTTTCTAGCCCAGTGCCTTAACCACGGGACAAAAATATATCTCAATGGAAGACCAGGCCTTAAAACTGTTTCTGAACAGCCTTGCTGGAGGGGCATAACCCAACCCATATATGAATAATCCTCATTTAACAATACTAACCGGGATGGGAAACTGTTATCAGTATGATACATATTAAGCTGTGATGATATGCATCACCAAAGATTGCAGACATTCAGACATGCAGAAATTTAAATTGGGGAGGGGGGGAGGAGGAGGCATACTGCTTTCCACTGGCTTACAAGCCATAATTGAAAGGGTTTGCATTTTGGCAAGTTAATATCCTGCGATACAGGTAGTCCTTATTTAGTGTTCAAAATTATAACAACACTGAATGAGAGGGGATTTAACAGAATAGCAAGAGTTGGAAGGGACCTTGGAGATCTTCTAGTCTAAGCCCCTGCTCAGGCAGGAAGCCATTCAGACAAGTGGCTGTCTAGTCTATTTTTAAAACCCTCCAGTGATTAAGGGAAAAGCATCGTTTTGAGGTGGTCATGGATATTTATATACATGGCTATATCAACCACTAACTGTCGTGGCCATTCATGAGTTAGGTTACCATGACAACAAAGACATTCTAAGATCTAGAAAGGACATCAGACAAAAAAGATATGCCTGTCCTCTTTCACGTATTTATCACAAAGTTGTAAGAAATATTATTAACAGCATACGTACCTTAAAGGAACTATGCACTAATGTTTCATCAAGATCAATGACCACACATTTCTTCCCGTAATCGGATATTGTCCTTTCTGGCAAGAGGTATTTAGCTGGTGGCTAAACAGAGAGAAAGAGAAAGACCACCTTAAAAATATAGGAATTTCCACGAGAAATCTAACAATTGGTGAAAACTAATATAGTCATAATTAAATTATTTATGCCTTGCTAGACAAATACCTGGGACCACATTTCCTTTTGCATGGATTATAAAGGATTTCAATGATATAGGTAGACTTCGATTTACAACAGTTCATTTAGAAATGTTCGAAGTTGGAACAGCACTGAAAAAAAGTGACTTATGACCGTTTTTCACTCTTACAACCTCTGCAGCATCCCCATAATCAAGTGATCAAAATTCAGATGCTTGGCACCTGATGCGTATTTATGACAGTTGCAGTGCGCTGGGGGCGGGGGGGGGGGAAATCAAGTGATCACCTTTCTTACAATGTGGAACCCAGATTCACATAACAACTGTGTGACTAGCTTAGCAATCACGGTGATTCACTTAACAACAGAAAGGTCATAAAATGGGGCAAAATTCACTTCGTAAACTAACTCAGAAATCTGGAGCTCAGTTGTGGTCGTAAGTCAAGGACTACCCCTGTATTCCCTCAAATTAGCATGTCTGTCTACTATGGAAGATCCCTGGGATAAACAGAGGGAGGGATCTGAAATGGAAGAGCAGAAATCTTTCCACAATAGTCTCAAGATAAGGCATTCTTTTTAAATCTGGCAGACTTGTATTCTAAGTGATTAAAATACTAAGGCAGAGGTTCATGATGATTTTTCCCCTCACAATTTGGCTGAATTGGTCATCTGAGAGAGCATTATCAGTAAATTGACAAAACGGCTTCCACATGGTTATAGTCAATCACAAAACAATAATTTTACAGGCAGAGGTCCAAGCAGCTTCAGAGACCAAGCCACCTGATTAATAAATTCAGTGCAAAGCAAAAAATGAGGTCTGAACCAAGACAGTTGTCCCAAATTTTTCCTCACGTGAGATCCAGTTAACAAAATACAGACTGAGAAATGTCAGAAAAACACAGAAACATAGCAGGCATTTGTGTACAGGAAGTCCTCAAATTAGGACCACAACTGAGCACCAAAGTTTGTGTTATTGATTGAGAAACCTTTTTTGTTAAGTGAATCACTGTGGTTGTTGAATAAGCGTCACGGTTGTTAAGGGAATGGGGTTTGTACATTGGCTTTGCTTGCCAGAAGGTTTAAAAGGGGATCGCGTGACTCCAGGACACTGCAACCGTCATAAATGCGAGTCAGTTGCCAAGCACCTGAATGTAAATCATGTGACCATGGGGATGCTGCAACGGCGATAAGTGTAGAAAATGGCTATAAGTCACTTTTTTTTAGTGTCGTTGTAACTTCGGATGTCACTGAATGAACTGTTATATGTTGAAGACTATCTATATATTCTGCTCAACATACTGTATGTCCAAGAAAACAAAACAAAAAAACAAAACAAAATACGCAGGACACAAAACAAAACGTTCACTTTAGTAATTTATGTCCTGGCCTGCTTCCTTATTTTAAGGCTGGAGTGGGAAAACCCACAATTCTTGTTTTTTTAAAGAATCCTTCTGGCTCAAATGAAGCAATCTTATGAACCCAGATGGTTCTGGATATTGGACTCACCAGATTCCCCAGAAAGAAAATATTTTTAAGTGGGGAGGAGGAGCCACCAAGAGAGATATTCTGAATCATATTATGCCCACAGATCTGGAATTTTCTAAATCGATATCATATAGGCTGGTAATATTAGCTATAGAATGGGGGTGGGATGGAAGAAAACTCCTTTGTGGAACTCAGTTTTATCATCAGGAATTAAACAGCTTGTAGATGGGTAAGGCAGTACCTATATAGAATAGAATAGAATAAAATAGAACAGCAGAGTTGGAAGGGACCTTGGAGGTCTTCTAGTCCAACCCCCTGCCTAGGCAGG